TAGTAGTAGTAGTAGTAGTAGTAGTAGTAGTAGTAGTAGTAGTAGTAGTAGTAATTGTTGTTGTTGTTGTTGTTTTGTTATTGTTGTTGCTGTTGATGATCGTGCTATTGAAATGGTAGGGATGGGCTAGATCTAGATCTAGGAGTAACACTAGTACAAAAAACTACAGATGTAACAATGGCAACATAAATAAAAGAAGCAGTAGATCTAATCTAGGCCTACCACGGGCGCTAGTAGTTGAAATGGTGGTGTATGTTGTTGCAATAAATGCTACGTCATTAAGGGCTTATAATGATCAGAGACGTTACTACAGAATCTACATGCATGGCGATGCTACAACAGTATATCGGCTCATCTTCAAATATAATAGATCTAGATATCTAGATCTAGATCTAGATCTATATTCAGTACATTTTTATCAGTTAAGCCGAATACTGAAAACCACACAACATACATTTTAAACTATGTTAAAGTTAAAGGCATGGACACACTAACCAAGTGAGTTCGTTAAGCGTTTGAGACGAGAAAAGAAAACTAACTTACATCTCACCTTGTGTAGGCCAGATCTAGGGGTATTAATTCTAGCAAGTCCATATACTCTCCACTAAAATCGTAATAATAATATATCCTCTGATTCTGAACCACAGCACTTCTATAACTCAACCACAATCCACGAAAGAACTCCAACACTGTCGGGCGATCGCGTCACAGCGAAAACAATACTTTCCCGTCCAATAAAACAAAAAACCCAAATCCAAGGCTCTGAAGAAATACAAGAAATATAAAAAAAACGATCTTGCGTAAAGTTTTAAAAGATCCTCAAGCTTGTGTGAATGTTAATAATCCTCTAATCACACAAGTGTTAAAATACACACACACACACACACAGTCCTTGACTTTCCCGTACGGTGAGAATCGACTCCTCCTCCGACAAAGTTCGATAGATAAAGCCACAGCCTAAATTTAAAACAAGTCTAGGAATGCGCACGATTTTCAAACGTCATGCGAACTGAGAGAGAGTGAAAGAGGGTGGGTAAGAGAAGAGGAAGAGGGGTGGTGTGGGTAGGAATGAAAGGAAAAGGGTTTCATACATTAATCAACGCGCGAGGGACCACTTACTCCTTCGTAGTTCGTTGTGAGTTGGGGAAATTCAAAACGAACGAGTGAGAGAGAGAGAGAGAGAGAGAGAGAGAGAGAGAGA